ATAATATAGTTTTTAATATATATATTTTTTATAATAATAAAATATATTATTTACTACATTTTGTGAAAAAAACTTTTATTTTACATAAAAAAATATATGATTTAATTTTTGTAATAACACTCTGTTTATTTAAATATTAGGCAATTTTGTTGATTATCTAAAAAGTAATGATCGATTTAGCGACCACAGTCCATTAGAGAGTCAAGTAAAGAAAATTAGCGATTAATTGGTCGAATAAGTGATTCAGATACCAAAGTCTTTCGTTTGCTGGACAGTCTGAGTAGCAATCTGACATTGTTTATCAGAGATGTGTGTCGAATTAGAATCACGTCTACGCAGCCATCGCCTATGTGACAGTGAGGACTAAAGCCCATGGGGCTTCTCGAGCACGCGCAAGACACGTTCGCGCCGTTCACCATAAAAAACTTTCCACTGACCGTCACCCATCCTTTTCGTGGATAAAAAAAAGCATTATTACTTTATATATATATATATTAAATCTATCCAATTTTTTAAATTATTAAATCTATACTCAAATTTTGCTTGTATTAATTTTTAAACACGTACTGGCAATTTCCTCGTCAGGAATGCTGTTGTGCATGTGTTGCAGACAGCGTGAACAGTTTTTCATGCATCTGGTGCTACTTGCAGGATGACACGGGTCCGATAGCAATTCGATCTCGCCCTCGTAACCCTTATTTGCTATTATCTTTTTAAACCCTGAAAAAAGATGTAATTAATTTAATATTAAACATTTTATATTCTCTGTGCATATATGTCTAATATGTTATTATTAATTAATATATAAACACAGTTACCATACACACAAACGCGCGCGCGCACACATACAGGGTGTCCTAAAACTACCGTATTTTTTCTTAATGACAGATTCCTTAGAAAATTTCAAGACTAAAATTCTAATGTCTAATAAAAATGTCGAGACTATAATAGTTTTTAAATGGGAAGCGATTATATTTTACGAATAACAGGGCTGAGATTTCGTGCGCTCAGGCACAGCGAAATAGTAGACACCTACATGGTAACATTAATCGACCGCTTTGACAGCTGAAGTTGAAACATGTCACAAATTTTTACTTGAATCATTTTTTAGATGCCTTTAGTTCTTGCATTCATTATTCGTAAAAAGAATATACTAATGCAATGCGTAGAAAACCGGGAAAACATATAATGACAATGCTATTGTAAATTTATACGATAATCATAATATCATAAAAAAGGCGCCCCATCCATAGAGCATTTTTTTCACTTGTTATTTCGACGTGCCTGAGCGCGAAATTTCAGCCCTGTCATTCGTAAAATATAATCGCTTTCCGTTTAAAAACTATTATAGTCTCGATATTTTAGGATTTTCGTCTTGAAATGTTCTAAGAAATCTGCCATTAAGAGGAAATACGATAGTTTTAGGACACCTTGTATATATACAAGGTAGGCCATTTTAATGTATCCACTGAAATATTTTAAAATCTATAAGTTTAAGACAAAAATGTTTTAGACAAAAGTTGTATGGTTCAGAGGGGGACATTATGAAAATATGGACTTGATCTTGAGTAACCTTTTCAAGGTGAGGTCAATGTGATCGATGTTTTCTTAAATGGAATTATTTTATATTTTATTCTGACATATTTTGATATAAAAAATAAAATATCTCTTAAAATATTTAGTTTTCGATAATCTTACCGTAATACTTTTATGTACAGAATAATGAGACAAATCAATTAGTATAACAAAAATAATTGTTTTTAAGAAAAGTATGTTATTATTTACAATGTATTTTTTAAACAATTATTTGTTTTTTTCTTTACACTAATTGATTTGTCTCATTATTCTGTACATAAAAGTATTTATGTAAGATTATCGAAAACTAAATATTTTACGAGATATTTTATTTTTTATATCAAAATATGTCAGATTAAAATATAAAATAACTCAAAAAGTACTTAATGAAAAAATACTTTATTATAGTGTTTTGAAAAACTTTCGAGATAAGCTACAAGAATATGCAATAAAAAATAGGGAGTTCCATTTAAGAAAACATCGATCACATTGACCTGTCCTTGAAAAGGTCACTTAAGGTCAAGTCCATATTTTCATCATGTGGCCCCCTTCAAACCATGCAACTTTTGTCGGAAACATTTTTCCATATTTAAAGCCGTTTCCGAGATCCAGGGGTGGGGTCAGATTTTAGAGATACCCTGTATATATTAAATCGATATAAATTAGATTAAGTACATTATTATATAATTCACAAGTTTTAGATTGTATTGTATAGCGAAAAATTTTTTTTTTGAATACCACAAATTAAACGGTGGAAATTTCTAGACTTTACCGGACCAATCGTATCTGCGAGGTCCCATCCAGCGAAATTTTTCACTATCGCGAATCACGTCGCCCAGATAGCCGTAACTGAGAACGCTGGCGTACAATCTGAGCAAGGTGCGATTGCTATGAACGGATGAGATGTCCAAACCGATCGAGTCGCCGAAAATGATGTGTATAGCAGCGGTCTGAACGTCAGTGGTACCGTGCAGGCTATAGGCCACCGTGTCCGTGCTACCGCTGGGTATAACACCGACGGGCAAAACAGGATTGGGTAATCTGACGTCGGGATCGTTGGGATCGATCTGCTGATCCTTGACCGCCCTCAGAATAAGCCCGTTGAACACCTCGGCGAACGTGCCATCGCCACCAATGCACACCACTGCCTAAAACACATCGTAAAAGTTGTGATTTGAGAATAGCTTGGATCAATTCTTTTCAATATAAAGCTTTCGCAGCTTTATATTTATACAGCAGAAACATGAATTTATATTTATTATGTAAAGTCAAAAAAAAAAGATAAATATGTAGATTTTTATTTTAAATACACACACACACACATACTATCAATTACACAGTTCAACAAAAAAAAAACACCGGAACGGGATTAATCGTTTCTTATAGGCTTTTGAACGCTGAACATGAATCCGGTTCCGAAATTGCTCCATCACGTCAGAATTTTGAGAAATTTGCAATTAAAGTTGCAATTATGAGCAAAAGATGATATCAAACTATGTAGTAGTTATCGAGAACTAAAAGGACAACCGATCCGAGCTCGGTGAAACGCATACTCGTTCCGTTTTTGCCAACCTGTGGTTGGCAGCAGTCGGGAGTAAAAAGGGCTATTTTCACGAACTTTGTCATATTATAGCTACAATATGTGACATGCTGGAGAAGTTTCATTGCAATCAAAATAAAATATGTTGTTAAGACTTTCAACCCTCAAAAAGAATTTTTGGTGTCGGTTATGGTTAATGAAATATTCATGGTTAAATATGGGGTGTATTGCAGAAGTTAGCTGTGACTTAGATCATTGACGACTTACCAAATAGTTTTCAATTATATTTATTTAAACTTAAGAGTTTTTCAGATCGGTGAATACGAATTCAATGTCAAAATTGTCAAATTCAAAATGGTGGACTCAATATGGCGGATGTCAAAACTTAAAAAATGTTTAGATTGCAATCGAAACATTTGAGTCCACCATTTTGAATTTGACAATTTTGAGATTGGATTCGTATTCAGCGATCTAAAATCTCTTAAATTTAAAAAATCCTAACAACATACTTTATTTTGATTGCAATAAAACTTTTCCAGCACGTCACATATTGTAACTATAATATGACAAAGTTCATGAAAATAGCTCTTTCTTGCAACTTTAATTACAAATTTCTTAAAATTCTGACGGAGCAATGAGTGATGGAGCAATTTCGAAACCGGATTCGTATTCAGCATACAAAAACTTATAAGAAACGACTAGTCCCGTTCAAGTGTTCAAAAAAAGTCATTTTTTGTTGAACGGTGTTATCAGTATCCAAAATTTTATATTTCTTTGGATTTGTATAGTGTTTTATATTTATCGCATAAATAGTAAAAATGTAAGGTTTTTGAATTTATGTGATTTCTCAGATTTTCTAATTATAGTAATATAAATAATAAAAAAATAGTTACACATATAAATTTATAATTATTTTAAATTTGCTTATATATAACTTGTATATGCATACACTAGGTCTGATTTTATACGTATAATGCACACATGTATAAATTTATTTGCACTTGGATTTGTGTGCATGTGTAAACTGTGCGAAAAAAAACAGAATATTGGCCTTACAAGAACAAAACTCACATGTAAGTCACTCAAATCGGCCGTCAGCAGCATGTCACGAATATGGCCAGCACGCTCAGTGACCATTATTTTTGTCTCGATACCGGCTATGGTCATGAGCGGCTGCACGTCCTTTTCCCAGATCTTGACGCCTTTCTTCTTACCGCCTATGGGATTGATGAACAGCATCACCTTTCGTGGTCGATACGTAAGACCTAAAACAATCGGCTTTAAATTAAATTCGATTTTTAAGTCTTCAAACTCTAGGAGTTTTCTTAAATATTCGAATTATCAGAATTTAACATTAATTGATTCGGTGCAGTAAATCAAATTCGAATTCTAGGAATTTCTTTTAATAAGATATTTTGTGTATGTACGTGCGTGCGTGTGTGTGTGAGACAAGACATGAAATTTCAAAGTAGACATTAGGAGTGATACTTGCAAAATTATTGTTTAATTAATTGATCAACAAATTTGTACGAGTTTATCCTACACATACATATATACATGCATACATACATACATACATACCCAGAGAAAAATGTTTCTTTATATTTAGTATATGTGTTTATTTGACTTTTTTTCACTAAAACATTATTTTATTAAACAAAAATTTGATTGTTTTGTTACATTAAATCATATTGTTTGATGGAAAAATAACTATTATTTAAAATAGTATAGTTCATTCGCTTATGCATCGCTATGCGACGCCCTATTCACTATATATGTATATTCGTATATTCAAGTTTTTGTCATAAGAGTATATAAAATCTGTAAAATGCGACTAATAACCAGGGTTGGGTAGTAACTAGTTAAAAAGTTAAAAGTTAAGTTAAAAGTTGAAAAGTTAATAACTTTTAACTTAATTTAGTTAATTTTAAGCGTATTAACTTTTAACTTAAACTAGTTATTTTTAAATGCATTAACGTTAACTTATTAACTTTTTTTATACAAGTTAAAATTTTGTATCTTTAATAGTCGAAAATTATCTGTTTACTAATAATTATAATAACATAAGACAGTATCCAGTACCATTGAAACGTGGTTTCATAAAATACAACACAACGGTACCATCCTCGTCGCATGTAGAGCATATGTTTAGTGCAGGTGGTTTAGTATGTGATGATTTAAGAGGAAAAATGACAGACCATAATTTTGAGACTTTTATTAAAATTCAATAAATATTTTTAAATTGTTTTAATTTATTGTTAGAGTATCTAACAATTAAAGATAAAGATAAAATGCACGGGTGCAGGTAGAGCGGGTCAAATTAAACAGAAAAGTTCTCTTAACCGAAGACTCCTTCATTAAACGTTTTATTTTTAAACACTATAATATCTCTATTATACAACTATAGTATATTTAAATAATCTGCATTATTAATTATTATATAAGAAAAAATACATTATCTCTCTTATAAAAAAACTACCTTTTTATTATATATACTTAAATTTAAAAAGTTTTATTTAAAATGTACAATTAAAAGATTAATTATGTAAAAAACATATAGTTTTGTATAATTAACTTTTAACTTTTTAATAAGTTAATAACTTTTTAACTTAACTTTAACTGAGTTAATTTTTGTTTAAGTAATTTTTAACGTAAACTTAGTTAATTTTTATTAACTTTAAAACCATGGCCATTAATTTTAAACTTAACTTAGCTAAAAAAAAATTAACTTACCCAACGCTGCTAATAACATTGTAACAACTATTTCTATCAATTCAATTTCTGATACAATCTCCATACAGGGAAATTCAGATATTGATCTGATTTCTGGAAAATCGGACAGATAATGTTCGATCGGACAGATGATGTCCAATTTTCATTTATTCTGACAGAGAAAAATTGTCTGAATAAGGCCGTAGCACATAAAAAAAAATGTAAGCAGTAAAACTTAAGACGTAAGGAAAGCGAACAATTAAGATCATCATACACAAAATTCCGTAAGGACGTAAGACGTAAGCGTAAGAAAATCGACCAATCCCAATCGAGTATTTGACTCTCCGTAACCCCTCCACTTTTACGGAAAGCCCAATATTCGATTGGGATTGATGAATTTTCTTACGCTTACGTCTTATGTCCTTACGGAATTTTGTGTGTGATAGCCTTTACAGTCGAGAACATAAGCAGCCATATTGAAACGTAAGCAACGCTGAAAATTCCGTATGGATGAAATTACTGAAGTGTAATTAAGTTTTTCTATATGCCATGATCCTAACAAGCCGTGAAGACACTTGTTTAGAAAGATGCAGTTTGTGTAACAGGCAATCTAGCTTTATCCAACTTGTTTTAAGCTTTATCTAAATTGTTCAAAGCAACATGATATAAAACAAGAATATTATTTTTAAAAAATTGTTTGAAAGAATAATGCAAGTATTCAAATCGAAGAAAAAAAGTGAAATTCTTTCAAAAAATATTTTACTTGAAGTAAACATATATGTTTTTTGAAAACCAAACAATCGTATTTGTTAGTTCAAACATTAGTTTGGTTGGACTATTCCAATGATCAAATTTTTTTGACTTCAAAATTTATTAGATCTAAAGAAACGTTTTGTTCTGTACACATACACAGGTACACACACACACGCGCGCGCGCGTGCATACGTATGCACGTATATGACTCTTAGGATTAATAAAATGACAAAAGCGAACACAACACGCTTTTTAATTGACTTCGGTTTTTTCTTATTACATTTTAATAAATTTTATTTCTTTAAGAATGGAAATGGGTCGCTTAGACTCGACAGAAAAAAATAGGCTTTTAATCATGCAAACTATGTCGATCGATCTTTTCTATACAATGTAATGTCGATAATTGAACGGACTTTTTCACGAAAATGGCATTTTATACGCGAGCACGGCAAATCCCCAGATCAATACTGTAACTGTTGGTTCGTGACAAAGGTCGACAAAGATAGTTTAGACTTATCCTATTTTCTCACTTATAAAAACAAGCCGTACTCTTTCTCTCTTTCGAAGATTATCGTGCAATATCATTGTTTACCAAGCGAAACAAGAGATTGCATCTCGCTTAATTAATTTCACAATGCCCTTAAACAAAGCAACAACTCAACTTAGAAACTATCAAATTTCAAGAAATAACAAAATTAAAGAAATTGGTAAGTGGCGAAATTAAATAATAAAGCAGCAACCTAATTCGAAAACTATTACAATCCATGAAAATAGCGAAATCAAAGAATATAGCAGCAATTTTATTTAAAAATTATTATAATCCGCAGATAAAAAAGATTGAAGAGAGCGATTCAATTTATAGAAATTATTTATTATTATATGGCAAAACCAAAGAATGTGTGTGTGTGTGTGTGGCACAGCGCAATTTAATTCGGGAATTGTTAAAAGGGGAATTCAACGAAAGCGCAAACGATAATCACGGTGTAAAACATATATAGTTGTTTAAAAAAAAATGAATTTGCAACTAGCACTTTTTTTTAACAACTATGTATTTTCTTTGCATCAATTGAATCTCTCATTATTTTGTGCATAAAAATATTGAAATAAAATAATCGAAAAATAAATATTTTACGAGATATTTCATAGTTTATGTAAAATTATGTCATATTAAAGTATAAAATATCTTGTAAACTATTAAATTTTTGGCCATACTACCCTTATAATTCTTTACGCCGAATATTGCAAAGAGTCGATTTATGTAAATAAATCAGGATGATTTTATTTAAAAAAATGAAGATGATCTTGAAATAACCTCATGACCTTCATCCAAGATCAAACCAATGGCACCATCCTATGTGCCTCTCGAAGTCATAAAATTTTTGTACGAAAAAATTTTTTGTGAAAGGCGTAGGAAAAAAGATATTTAGGTGGAGCAATTAAAATGACACACCTTGTATATTCTATCATTGAAAAGAGATTGCGAAAAGTCTCCAATTTCGTTTTCCATAATTTTATGCGCACAATACATAATTTTTATTTTTACAATAATAAAATCAAATCAAATTTACAAAAGGCTCTGATAAATATAATAAATATAAGGAATAACAGGCAATAAGAGCCAGCGCGGTATAGAAAGCGCAAAGGAATATAATATTAAAATATGAACTAAAAAACGCGAACATATCGGTCCCTTTTTTGGACCTTCATCAACACATTAATACATATTAGATTAAAAATAGACCGGAATCATAATCGGAGTCATACAATTTAGAGAAGTAAAACGTCGGTTTGGAGAAGTCATCGCAGTCCGGTTAAAACGTAATCAAAAGTCATTGTCCATAAGGTGCGCTCCTCTGAGGTTGATCGACCACCAGAGATATAAACCGAATAGTCCATGACTATTTGTCAATATGCTATTTTTTTTGTAGTGATCGCAAGCATCTCTTTGTCCAGAACATCAAAATTACGAGGAAACGCACGCTTGACGGAAATGATAATTCGATATAATACAGAAAACTTATAGAAAGAGGTGCAAAGATTTGCTTGTTATAAGTATCGGCAACGGTCAAAATATTAAAAAATAAATACGCAGCCAATAACACGGATAATAAATCTTAATTTTTTATCACAGCATCCTCTCTGCCAAAAGAAAGGTACGATTATTGGCTTGATTTATAGAACATTCCTACTGTTACATCCTCATTTCCACCACAAAAGCTTCAACATTATCATTAAAATCTTACTTGACAATAATTACCCTCTTGATTTTATATTTCAGACTACGCATTATCGTCTTAAATTTCTAATTAACTCAAGATCCAATAAGTTTGACTCTAACATAGAAATTAACGATAAGATAAGTTCTCCATTTTTTATTATCCCATTTGTTCCTTCTGTCTCTGAATGTTTCAAGAATATCACTAGAGATCTCGATGTCAGACTGTCTTACTCCAATCTTAATAAATTTTCTCGTCTTATTAAAGTTCACAAAGACCGCCTTCTCAATTCTTCCGCTCTTCTAAATTCTCTTCTACCAACGTTGTGTACAAAATTAAATGCAATGACTGTGATGCATCTTACGTTGGCCAGACTAGTAGAAGATTACAAACGAGAATCAACGAACATTGTAATCATATACGCAGAAATACTTCTAACAATTCAGTTATTACGGATCATAGATTGAATCTTAATCATGATTTTAATTGGAATGACGTCGAGATCTTAGATAATGAACCTCACCTAAACAAACTACTTTCGGAAATGCTTTTTATAAAAAGGCAAAAAAAAGTTTGAATCTACAGACGGATATGGAATGCTTACATCATGCTTACGTCAACGCTATTGAAAAACTCCCAAACGTTTGACTATCTTACCGAATTTATTTGTAAAATGTTCCTCTGAAATACCTCTTCTAAGTAAATATTTTGAAATTTGTTAGTCTACGAACTATCTAGCATATGTTTGCGTGTTTGTCAGTTACTAGTTTGAAATGGAATACGTATTGATTACTGTTTAATTAATGTTATGTTTAATTTATTACCCGTGTTGTTGGTTGCATATTCATTTTTTAATTTTTTGACTATTGCCGATATTTATAACAAGCAAATCTTTGCACCTCTTTCTGTAAGTTTTCTGCATTATATCGAATTATCATTTCCGTCGAGCGTGCGTTTTCTCGTAATTTTGATATTCTAAGCCCTAGGCAAAGAGATGCTTGCGATCACTACAACAAAAAAAAAACAGTATATTGACAAATAGTCATGGACTATTCGTTTTATATCTCTAGTGGTTGATCAACCTCAGAGCGCACCTTATGGACAACGACTTTTGATTACGTTTTAACCGGACTGCGATGACTTCTCCATACTGACGTTTTATTTCTCTAAATTGTATGACTCCGATTATGACTCCGATCTATTTTTAATCTAATGTGTATTAATGCATTGATAAAGGTCCAAAAAAGGAACCGAAACGTTCGCGTTCTTTAGTTCATATTTTAATATTATATTCCTTTGCGCTTTCCACACCGCGCTGGCTCTTATTGCCTGTTATTCCTTATATTTACAATAATAAAAATTTGTAAATAATATTGAATTTAAAGTAATATATATATTTTGTCTTTTTTGTGTCAGTCTTGATTTTTGTAAATCTCAAATCTTTTCCTTTATATTTTTTTTAAGGTTTACTTTTATATTTTTTTATAATATTTTTCTTAGCCCCAACTGCTTGCGTTATTGGAATGTAAGCATTTTATCTATGAAGAATAATGTGTCTGCATGACATTGTAATGATATCAGCTACGAAACATGAACCAGCAAGTTTTTATGTAATTATTTATGCGTCACGTTGATTTCTTAGTTTTTGATTGGCCGTCTTCTTCGTGCAATCGCGCCTTTTTGCGTCGAACAAGTAAATTGATGGAAGAATTTCCAGTTATTTCTTACAACCATGTAATAAACCAAGTTTTTATCGCTCACGCGTGTCGAATGAGTCAACTTTGGATATCGCTAAAATAATACGTTGCAATCTTTGCATTTTCTTAGCCACCGTATATTTCTAAACTGCTTATAGATATATATTGCATATCTTTTGATAACCAACGATTAAAGTCGACCTTTCCTTTCTCTAACAAAAATATCGTTGAGACAATGCTAGTTTTCGAATAAGACTAGCGATTAAATTATTTGAAGAATAAAAGTGAATGACAAAACTATCCTACTTCCCCCTCTCCCCGTCACGCTTCATTTTCTACAAAGATACATATATACATACATATGTATGTCGTAATTTTAAAGTTAACAAGATATTAGCTGTTACAAAGAAGTTTTCGTAAATTTTAATAAATGCTATTAAATTCAAAGCGATAATTGAAGAAATTATTGCGCGCCATTAACTCACCTAGAAGATAATTTCGAATGGTTTTCACCCAAGACGCGATTTGTCTGGGATCTGTGTGGCTCATAGTCACGCTGTTGTGTCGCCATTTGTTCTTGGATCCGCGAACTGCGTAGTGCAGAATAAAATTCGTCGGGCAAACCGTGGTTGGCGAGGTCGATTGTTTCTCTTTAACGCTCAAACCCGGTATCCAGTCATCGCCGTAACGCACTGCCAAAACGTCCGTCAAAGGCAGCGTCCATCTGGCTGGAGAAAAGAAGCGAAAAAGAAAAAAAACCGATTATTATAATAATAATTTTTTTTTATAAACGAAAAAGGGGATGGGGAAATACGCGCGTCTCTCTCAGAGGAGCTCTACCGTTTTATGTATCGTGTCGCTAGCATTTAATCAAAAGTGTATGTGTAATATATACGGATATTCTTATATATACTTGTATTTTCCTTAATCGTGACATTAAAACTATTGTAGATAAATGAGCTCTGACATGTAAAAAGAAAAAACGCCACTTTAATATTGTATAATATATCGGTGGATATTACGTTTAAAGCTCGTATCTCAGTCTACGCATTGAAGAGATGGAAGATTAAAGATTGGAATTTGATTAAACAGAACAAAATGAGCTTAAGTTTCTTTGTCCTGATTAGTCAAATTTCAATTACAATCTTCGCACAGTCTGATACGGACTTAACGAATGTTATATGGTCCAACACATATAGTCAACTGTCAGATAAGTATCTCATTAAGGTTTGATAACATAATTGGCTTGATAACTTTTTAAGGAAACATATCGCATTTGGTAACGATTGTTCGACTTATCATTTTATAATTTCTGCTTAATTTTACATTAATTATGATTCATTTGATTCGATTTTACATTATTATCATTATTATTATTACATCATATATTATTGTATTTTATTATATGCACAATATAACATTTATATCATATTGTAGGACTAAGAAATGCAATATGCGGTTACGTTATTTGGTGAATGTAAAATGGAGAGAACGGTACTCAATGTGTACATGTATGTACGCGTGTGTATAATATGTTGCGCAATATATCCAGCTATTACAGAGTGCAGGTGCACGCGCTTGCATCTCAGAGAATGCAAGAAAGAATCAAATTATTTCCCTAAAGAGGAATCTCCCGAGTCAGTATTGCCTTTTCATAAGACTCCGAGAAAGTAAAATACTCTCCTGTTCGACATTGCCCGTATAAATTTCTCATTTCTCTACACTGTTTATGAAATTCTTATTTTTTATGTGCTATATCATATATTTTATTTTTTAATATTACGTAAAGCTTAATCAACATTAACACAAATTTTCCAACATATAAACAGAAATTTTATTATCATTATTAGTTGATCAAAAGAAAGAGTAAGATTGTTCGAGCTTTATCGGCATGAGAAATTTCGATGCATGACGCGTTTTTCTTGCGATATTTCTTAACATGTGAAAGCAATGTCGCAGGATATGTTTCCTTATCTTTGCCTTCCCTTATTGTCGATAAATTGCGCGGCGTTGTTAGAAATCAGCTTTTATCTGCATTTTTATCAGTACTTATCATTTGCTAAAGCAGTGTTTGCCTCGACAAAGAGGTAACGTTATTACGTGCAATGATTAATCAACAATTACAATTTAGGACAATTTTTTCGGCGCAGGTAGATAAACTATTAATTAATAGCGTTGCATTAACTATACATCGTTGCGGAATTATAACTCAGAATTATCGGAAATTACTTCTTTAAGAAGCATGCGAGTCGAAAAGATAATATATACTTACAAAACTAGTTAAACATTTTAAAAATTTCGCACAATTTTTTCTATGTAATAAGAAAGAAGAAGAGAGAAAAACGCAGGAGAAAAGTTTGGAGAATGGGCACATGGAAGCTAATTTTTATGCTTTGTATATTATCTTATACTTTCTTTTTATATCTTTATAAACTATTTTATACTTATCTTTGCATCAAATCATAAATAATATATTCCTAAATATATTCCTAAACTAAATTGTGACTTCTTAGTTTTATTAATAATAATGATATATTATTTTATTTATATTTTCTATATTATA